GGTGGAGCGGGACCCCCCGGAGCTCCCTGGAGCTGCCACGGAGCCGATGTCCCCAGGCTGCGCCTTCGTCAAGTTCCAGAGCCACGCGGAGGCCCAGGCCGCCATCGCCGCCCTGCACGGGAGCCGCACGCTGCCGGTGAGGGGCCGTCCTCGGGTGTCACCTCGCGTGTCACCTCCTCCATCACCGTCCCTTCACCGTCCCGTCACTGTCCTCACCATCACCTTCATTGTTCCCTTTGTCATCCCCATCATCATCCTCGTCATTGTCCCCTTCATTGTCCTCATCATCATCCCCTTCATCATCTTCATCATCATCTTCATTGTCCCCTTCACTGTCCCGTCACTGTCCCCTTCACCGTCCTGTCACTGTCCTCACCATCACCCCCTGCCCTGTCACCTTCACCATTGTCATCATCAGACCCTTCCTTGTTCCCTTTGTCATCCCCATCATCATCCTCATCATCGTCCATTTCATCATCCTCATTGTCCCCTTCATCATCCTCATCATCGTCCCCTTCATCATCCTCGTCATTGTCCCCTTCGTCATTGTCCCCTTCATTGTCCTCATCATTGTCCCCTTCATCATCCTCATTGTCCCCTTCATCATCCTCATCATCGTCCCCTTCATCATCCTCATCATTGTCCCCCTCATCATCTTCCCCTTCATCATCCTCATCATCATCCCCTCATCATCCTTGTCATTGTCCCCTTCATTGTCCTCATCATCGTCCCCTTCGTCATCCTCATTGTCCCCTTCATCATCCTCGTCATCGTCCCCTTCATCATCCTCGTCATCGTCCCCTTCATGGCTCCCCTTTGTTGTCTCCACCGTCATCCTCACCACTGTCCCCATCATCTTCCTCACCATCACCCTCATCATCCCCACCACCGTCCCCACCATCATCCTCCTCCTTGTCACCTCCACCATCATCCTCACCACCGTCCCCATCATCTTCCTCATCCCCATCCTCTTCATCACCGCCCGTGTCACCTCCACCATCAAGGTCACCCCCATCCTCATCACCGTCCCCTTCATGGTCCCCTTTGTCACCTCCTTCATCATCATCGTCTTCATCACCATCCCCTTCACTGTCCCCATCATTGTCCCCTTCATTGTCCCCTTCATTGTCCCCTTTGTCATCTTCATCATCATCATCGTCTTCATCACCATCCCCTTCACTGTCCCCTTTGTGTTTGCAACCCAACCATCACCGCTCCCACCATGTCCCCGCTCTGAGTGACCCTGAGTGACCACAAGTGACTGCGAGTGACCCCTGAGTGACCCTTTGTGACCCTGAGTGACCCCTGAGTGACCGTGAGTGACCCTGGGTGACCCCTGAGTGACCCTTTGTGACCCTGAGTGACCGTGAGTGACCCTGGGTGACCCCTGAGTGACCCTTTGTGACCCTGAGTGACCGTGAGTGACCATGAGTGACCCTGGGTGACCCTGAGTGACCCCTGAGTGACCGTGAGTGACCATGAGTGACCCTGGGTGACCCTGAGTGACCCCTGAGTGACTCCTGAGTGACCCTTCATGACCCTTTGTGACCCTGAGTGACCCTGAGTGACTCCTGAGTGACCCCTGAGTGACCCTTTGTGACCCTGAGTGACCCTGGGTGACGGCGAGTGACCGCTGCGTGTGGCAGGGTGCCTCGTCCAGCCTGGTGGTGAAGTTTGCGGACACGGAGAAGGAGCGGGGGCTGCGGAGGATGCAGCAGGTGGCCACTCAGCTGGGCATGTTCAGCCCCATCGCCCTCCAGTTCGGAGCCTACAGCGCCTACACACAGGCGGTACGGGACACTGGGGACACTGGGGACACTGGGGACATTGGGGACACTGGGGACACTGGGGACATCGGGGACAGTGGGGACACTGGGGACAGTGGGGTCATCGGGGACAGTGGGGACATTGGGGACAGTGGGGACACTGGGGACATTGGGGACAGTGGGGACAGTGGGGTCATCAGGGACAGTGGGGACAGTGGGGACATGGGGGACATTGGGGACACTGGGGACAGTGGGGACACCGGGGACACCGTGGACATTGGGGACACTGGGGGCATCGGGGACATTGGGGACAGTGGGGACACTGGGGACATTGGGGACAGTGGGGACACTGGGGACACTGGGGACACTGGGGACATCGGGGACACTGGGGACACTGGGGACACAGGAGATACCAGGGACACTGGGGACATTGGGGACATCGGGGACATGGAGGTGACCCTGGGGACA